CTCAGAACTGTCAAGACAAGTTGATTTACTTCGTGGCTTGATACTTTCAACGTTATAGTTCGCTATAGTTAAATCAAGAGAGTACTATCTTCTTTTGGTTCAGTCAGTATACACAAGTGTGATCGTTAAGTTGTTGGAGGCATTTTACAAACGGTTCAGAGATTCGAGCAGCTAATTTGGACAGCTGAGGGCCGAGACAAACTGCCATAAAACAGAAATAAATTTACAACAGTAGTTTATTTGAAAAACATCATAATCTGGTGTCGTTATTGCGCACCTATATGTACAGAATATACCTCACTTTGTGAGCATAATTTCGGAAATCGGGAGCATAATTTGGGAATTCTGGCATAATTCTGGCATAATTTGGCAAAATTTCGAGCACTGCTAGTAGCATAATATGCCACTTTTAGGAGCACAATTCGCCAAGGGTAGGTGGCCGCGGCCGCTTAATAGAGGTGGCCGATTAATAGGGGTTTCATTTACAATATTTTACTGGCAATAATTTCAGGACTTTGATAACTGGCCGCTTAAGAGCAGTTCGACTGTAATACCATCGTTTGATTGACCCTATACCAGAAGCAAGTTCATGGGGGTACCCCTTAGAACATTTGGTGAGGGTACAGGTGTACCCTCCAGACCCCCCAACTTTCAAAACTGTTGCGCAATTTGTAAAACGTCTCTAAATTTATGACTGGTTTTCACTGGCAGTGTAGTCGTAGTCGGAGTCATAAATTATCAGAGGCTCAGAGTGATACGAACTAGTGAAAATCAACCAAGACGGTTCGTTTTGAAATTGACACTCTTAAGCTTTCGTACTCCTCAGTTCATGGAGATGGAAAACAAAGCATATGGCTTTGAAAAGCAAAGCCATATGCTAATTTCTAAATGACGTTTACAATAGACCCTTTTCATAAATGGCTGCCAATTTAAAATTCTTTTGTGTGCATTTAAATTAGCCTCTCTAAACTCGTTTGGGAGTAAAAATTCTTTTGAATTAGCAACTGAAAAACGAGGTTAGTCAGGCTAATTTAATACTTAATTGGCAGTCATTTAAGGCATGGATCAATAACTGGCGCAGGCCCGCAAAGATCGGTTCAGTTCAATTTCAAGACAAAAAGCTAAGATCTTGTTATTTGGAACGACAGATGTCAAATTCGTCCAGCAGCAACGCAGCCGAGGGATACAAACAGAGCTCGCTTTCCGTGCAAAAAGTGGACGGTGAAATGTTCATACAAACGGATGTTTGTCCTCAAGTTGGAGACGCCATCTTGGATTTAGGTTGCGGTACAGGAGAGCTGTCTAAATATCTGGCTCAGCTTGTAGGACCCGAGGGAAAGGTTGTAGCTGTTGATCCTGACAAGGAACGAATTCTACTGGCTCAGGAGTCTTACG